GATGAGATGGTTGGATGGCATCACCGACTCAATGGACATGAGTTTGAGCAAGCTCCAGGAGTCGGTGATGGACAGTGAAGCCTGGCATGCTGCAGTCCATGGGGTCACAAAGAGTCGGATACAACTGAGCAACTGAACTGATGAGGGTGTACGAGTGGCTGCTTAAATGGTCCCCAATTATTAGATTCTGTTCTCATCCAATTCTGACTGCTCTTCCTAAATTCTATACACTATATTTTTCATTTGAATTCATCTCTCAAGACATGGCCACAAACTCTTCACCATTACCATCACCGGGTCAGTGTGGACACTCAGCACAGTTCTCTTCTACCATGAGTGATGGCTGACTTCACTGGACAAGCAGCACAGATGACCACATCACAGCTCCCCCCACAACCCTTTCATAAATGCCACTCATACAACCATGTCATCAAACATGCATCTGATACATTAGATTCACAACTTAGCCTCGCTCACATCACCTCAGCAGGTCAACAACTAGACCATGTGAATGAAAATCACCAGGCTTTACTAGGATGTTTGTGTTTTCGTATTTCTACAATTTACATCAAGAAACTTTAGCCTGAAGTAACAGAAATAACCCAGCATGGTTTGTTTAGGATGTTGATTTTAAGGCAGCATGATCTGAAGTCCAGAATCAGTTTTTATCTCCTCTTTAATCATGTCCATGTTGCCACTTCCTATCTTTGGATATGCCCAAGTCACTTCTCAGTTCTGGAAAATGCCTCAAAGTTTAGCTTATTTCCTAAATTTACATCCTTAGAACTATGACTTTGAAAGCAGTATTTTACTGACTAAAAGCTCTTCTCTATGTCTAGTTTATCCTGGATTGTAAAACAAATATATAAAAGCTGTATTATCGATTCTGAACACTCTTTTCGTCATGTACCCTGGGAGAATTCATGTTTAAAGATAAAATAAAACAACGCTCGAAACTTCCAGGGTACAAAGTGGCAGACTGTGTCATCCATGGGCTCCTTTTAGCCTGCCAGCTTTATCTGACCAACAGAGACTCAGAGGAAATGAAGAAGAGAAGGTTTAAGGTTAACAAAATGTGTTCAGTCAGAAGATATTAGAAAGGTGGCTAAGATGTTAAGGCAGAAACCCTATGTACACAGGGAAAACCAAAGTATTTTCAGATAATAATGCCCAAGGTGTGACAGAAGAGTTCATATAATAGAAGGAGTCTATTACAGTCATGCCCTTTTTCCTTAAGCTGAAAACTTCTTACAAGGTTTTCTTCTTTAGGTTTTTGGATGTCAGGCACTTGGGAAGGTGGCTCTTTCTTGAAACTCACTAGAAACATAGATGAAACATTTTTACTGTTTATGTTTGTGTAAATCTAGCAGCTGTAAATCTGACCAAATTATCAAGGCATTTTTATTTCTATATACACTGCCTTCTGATACTTTAATATGAAAACTCACTTGTGTTTTCTTCCAGGGTAGAATTTTACATATTATTTTTTAGATGAAAGGACCTTTTTCCTGATGAACCTAAGCTGAGACTAAGAAATAAACTATTTAACAAGGGGTTTTTTTTTTTTTTTAAAGAATGCTTATTTATAAAACCCCCAAGTTTGAGGAAAAAGAGACAAATACACAGTGCAGTATGCTCTCCCCCTTCCAATGACCCCTAATTACACAAAAGCTCTGAAGAGCACTTTAAAACTCCACTTTACAGATGTCACTTCTGCTTTCCTTTAATGCATTTCAGGGTCATGCTAGATGACAACTGCCACTTGAGTGATGTATGCAAACATCTCCCGTCCTATGTGGTGTTAACAGCGGGTAACAAAGCTTTCAGACCACTGCCAGCAGGAATAACTACACTGTGAAGTGGGGAAGCACAACAGTCTCTTCATAAATGCTTATACAAGGAACCAAGGAATTTTAGAACTTAGATACTGTCTAGTCCACCACTCAATTTGGCCAAGGTCATACTGTTTGAAAGAATTAAGAATAAAGGTCTACATTCTCAGTTCAAAGATAGTTTCATTATTCCAGGCTGGTCAGCTATCAATTGAAGACATGATTATTTCTCCTATACCCTTTATTCTCATTTCTACTCTAGCACCTTACCTAAATTTATTCAGTCTTTTAGCTTAGAGATTTTTTCCAGTAAGATTACCTCAAACAAATATATAACCATCACTCTGATGTCCACCCCTCCTTTCTAGAGGCTGTCTTGAATTTTACTTTCATGGCATAAAGTTTCACTTCCAATAAGAAGTATATTCACTTCTTATCACAGTCTTCTCATCTCCCTTTGTTGTTGTAAAGTTGCTAAGTCGTGTCTGACCCTCTGTGACCCCATGAACTGCAGCACACCAGGGTTCCCTGTCCTTCACTATCTCCCAGAGTTTGCTCAGACTCATGTCCATTGAGTTGGTGATGCTATTCACCCATTCCCTCTCTCCACCTGCCCTCAATCTTTCCCAGCAGGGTTTTTTTTTTTTTCATTTATTTTTATTAGTTGGAGGCTAATTACTTTACAATATTGTAGTGGGTTTTGNGTCTTGTCCAGCACCACAGTTTGAAAGGATCAATTCTTTGGCACTCAGCGTTCTTTATGATCCAACTCTCACATCTGTACATGAGCACTGGAGAAACAATAGCTTTGACTAGATGGTCCTTTGCTACAAAGTGATGTCTCTACTTTTTCATACGCTGTCTAGGTTTGTCATAGCTTTTCTTCCAAGGAGAAAATGTCTTTTAATTTCATGGCTGCAGTCACTGTCCACAGTGATTTTGGAGCACAAGAAAATAAAGTCTGTCACTGTTTCCATTTTTTCCCCATCTATTTGCCAAGAAGTGATGGGATTGGATGCCATGATTTTAGTTTTTGGAATGTTGAGTGTTAAGCCTCATCTCCCTAACTCCCTCTTATCTTGGGGGCTGCCCAAGACTGCATCTTCCACTTTGCTCTTCAATTGACAACCTGGACTGGTTCCCATAACTCTAGTCCTGACCTTTCTGAGTTCCAGATTCACGTCTCCAGGTGCTTCCCGAATATTTTTACACGCTTATGTCCTCAAACTCAGCATGTCCAAAATTATGTCATCTCTCCTTCCGTATATTTTATTCAACTTCCTAAGAGTATCATCACTTTTCCATTAAGTTCACACCTTTGGTTACTTGGCTCCTCCTCTACATTTACCTAGACCTATTGATTTTTAAACAATTCTTTCTGCTCCTTTTTCTTGTGGTTCCCCAAAAAAATACCAGAAACTAGGTTTTCATCAGCCTCTCAAATTAGATTTTCATCCATCTCCCCATCCCCAACTCATCTTCTTTCTTAAATGTCTACATCATGTTAATCTGTTGTTCAAAAAGTCTTTTATTTTTCTTTATTAAATCCCACGGGTAGAATACACATCCTCCACCTGCTCACAGCCTGACCGCTTTCAATGCTGATTCAAGTCCAGTCTCTTCAACTGAGCTCTCTGTTACTGTTCTTGGATTTACTATCATATACTATGACTGTTGGTCAGTTGTTTTATAAGCTAGCTTTTTAATGTGCCCGTCTTCCTGGTATGGCTGTAAGAACCACATCTTACACGTTCACTGCTTCTGAAACTTACCTGCTATATTACATTATTTTAAAAATGAGGCCCAGTGATTAGGAGAATATGACTAAGAAGTAGAAAATCCTGAGTTTAGATCCTGGCTCTGTTCCTTTTTAGATGGGTGACCTTGGGCAAGTTACTTAACCTCTAGAAGCTTTCATGTCTATAAAACAGAGATAATGCCACCTATTTCACAAGGCTGTAGTGAAGTGTAATGTGTATATGGGTATGTGCACACACACATACAAACACACAATGTTTAACACAGTATTTGGTACATAGTGAGTGGGTGTTTTTTTAAACAGATGGTATTAATGACTTTGCAACCTATAGGTCAATACTTTAAACTGCAAGTGAAGTGAAGTGTCAGCCACTCAGCTGAGTCCAACTCTTTGCAACCTCATGGACTGTAGCCCGCCAGGCTTCTCTGTCCATGGGACTTCTCAGGCAAGAATACTGGAGTGCGTTGCCATTCCCTTCTCCTGGGGATCTTCCCGACCCAAGGATCGAACCCTGGTCTCCTCATTACAGGCAGATTCTTTACTCTCTGAGCCACTAGGGAACCCTTTAAACTGCAAAGGTCATGTTAAATATTTTTTATTAACACACCATCAAGATTCCATTGCATGTGAAGTTTTATACTACTCATCACTATATTTAGCCAAAAATTACTTTTCTAAGCTACATTCTAGAAGAGTAGGAAAGACAACTTTTAACTTTCAAGCTGTGCCCAGATGCCAAAACTTGGGGTGTGAAACTATACAAGATCAGTTTCATTTCACATACATAACCCAATCCAGCATGATTTTCAGCAAGCACCATTTTTTCAATACATTTAAAGAAGCACTCAAGAAGCTTTGGGAAGGCTAGATTTTGTGAGAGAGGATTGCTAGAGCCTGTCAACAACCAGAGTTTAATGATTAGGGACCATGGCCAGCTTCTTCTGGGAAGAAGGGGATAAGCTTTCCCTCAACCAACAGGTGAAGTACTGACTCTAATTAATGGCTTTAAAAGACGTAATGAAAATGTTGTAATCCAGTACATTAAAAACTGAAGAACTGAGCTTCTGTTGGTTGAGGTGGTCTTTTTTTTCCTAATGAAACATACAGTCCTTTCTCTTTTGTGCAGTAGGTCACAGTTTTCCCTAGGTTAAGTCATATAGTATTAAAAAAAAAAGTCCTTCTCTAAGGTTCCAGGCACTCTCCACCAGCAGCATCTGTAATCTTGCAGGAGAGGCTGCCTGAGAGCAGAGCAAGTGAACGCCACTGTCTGCTTTCACCCTGACTTGGGCCTCCCACAGTGCCGAGCAGCCGCAGGGCAAGTGTCTCCCTACATCACTGCCCACGGTGCCTCCCTTCCAAGAGCCCTCATTACTTCTGCACTCCTGGGCAGGGAAATCGCGTGGCCTTACCGCAGACGTTAGACGGGCAAGAATTTCATCACTGCTCTCTTCTGAGTCTTCAATTTTCTGATGAGATCTTTGAAAAACAAAGAATAAATTACACTTTAGCTTTGGCTGCTCAAATTTATGCACCAAGTTATGGGGAACACAGGGTAAATAATAGCATTATTGCTTCATACGTTAGTGAAAGTAACCTATGTGAGTAACATGGTGACAGTAATACCAGAGGAACACAGCTTGGGGCAGGCCAACGATTCCTTCAAAATCAACCAGCAAGAACCTCCTTCCCACACATCAATTAAATCCTGAGGACTGTCACTGCTCTCCAAATGAATCAAAGGATAATCCTGACACACCAAATTTACTAACGTGGGTATGCACAGAGAATTAGCAGAGGGTGAACATAATGTGGTCAAGTAGTGAAATTCCTGGTCAGTCTAAGTTAGATCCAGATTCTGAAAACATGAAACATGAATTTTCTACTATATCTGAGTTCCAGCCGACAAACAAATTTATTAGGAAATAGTCTATTATAAGCCTTGTCCTGTGATAGGAATTATATGGATCACAATAGCAGAAGCACTTTGTTCTTTTTTATGAGACCACAGCCCAGTTGAGAAGAAAATTATGCATGTGTTAAATAACTAAGCAGACAAACAACATTTACACAGTGTGATATCAGCTTGTTTAGAAAATCACCTAATGTAATTCATGAAAAATTGTTACCACACAAATGTACATTGCTAACACATAAAATCTACTTCAAACAAGCCTTATAAAAATTACATTTCTTTCTCCTGACCTGGTCAAAGGGAAAAACACTGACTAACGCCAACTGAATATATGTAATTGTCTCCCAGATCTACTTCCACAAGCAATTCCTTGAGGCACCTCTGTAGACTGGGAGGGGGTTGGTGATAATTGCTCTGCAGAGCAGTACCACGGTACTACAGTCCACTGTTGGATTTCAATCTCAGAAACTGCAGTGGGCCAGCCTGAGCGCAAGCCTTGCGGGGCAGAAGGGCTTCTCCTGGCTCCTAGGAGAGCTGGGAAGAGGCTCTTTGAGAAAGGAAAAGCAGTCTGATCAGTTCTGGCACTGGCTTCCAGTTTCTGTAAAAGTTACTAAACCTTTTCAAAGGAAAAATGTGTCCCACCCTTCAGGTCAGAGGAATGAATTACAAACTACCTCCTTTACAAGAATGGCATGTCACAGGTATGGGGCAGTGCAGGCATGTTGTCTAATAACTTAATTCTTGGTGCAGCAAAGCCTCTGATAATGAAAGATAATCTGACCTTGATCATGAACATTTCAAACAATAAGCTTTATTATTAAAACGATCTACTTACAAGGTTTCCATACACATGAAGTTACATTGAGAAGAGACTGGAACCCTTCATAACCTAAGCCACCAAAGCAGGTTTATAAGACTACGCTGGGGCGACAGAACAGATCTTAGGAAATGAGAAGCTGAGAACATTGGACACAAGAGCACCACCAAGGGCTTCAAGGCCCCATCGGTGTCTGCGGTGAAGAGCAGCTGGTGGTGCCATGTCTTGCTCAGCTCCCAGCAGACACCTGAAGGATGAGTTCATGTGCATGACATATTCCCCATTAACACAGATTCTGTCGTGAATGCATTTTAAACAAACTGCCGAAAGGCATTAAAAACTCCAAGGGAAGTTCTAGTGTGTGTGACTGATGGGGGGCTATGCAATGAGTAACAGCCAAGCTGTTGAAAATTCAGTGACAAATAATTTCATCTCTGTTCAAGCAAAACTATCTTTCATCATGCTTCCAGCACAAAACATGCCCCTGGCAGAAACGTTTCTCAAGGAAACACATCTAAGAGAGACAGTGATGCTCTCCTGAGTGCCGTCCTCCAGCCCAAGTCCCGTTTTTATCCCCTCAATCACCACAATCTATACCCAGAACTCTCAAGTCCTTCTCTAGACCCTGAATCTTCCCTGACTCACCCTGTGCTTCCATCTGCCTTCAGCATGGCTCTAGGTGGCAATCTCAGAACACTATTTTCACTCTCTTGGGGATCTTACGAGGCCCTCAGACTCGACATAACTTCCGGTGACCTTCTCCTGCCCTCAGTGGTACTCCAGCGCCTCTCGCCACTCAGCCTCACGTCACCCTGTGGTCATTCCTCGTCTTTCCATCACCATATCCTCCTCTTCTCTGCCTTCCTGCTTTCCTCCCCACCAGCCCCTCTGGAGGCTCTCACCTCCACAACGTACTTTAACCAGCTTCTAACCAGCTTGTCTCTGCTTCTCCTCCAGTATCTGATCTTCTGTTGATGCCAGGGTTCTCTTTCTACAACCCCAACCTGGTCCTGCTCTTCTCCAGACCCACACCTTCAGGGACTCTCCCACTGCCTACCTGAGAATTCAGAAGACTACCTGTCTGCTGAGGAGCCCCAGGTCCACCCTGCTCCCACAAGGACCTGCACAGCACCCGGCGCAGAGGAGTGACGTGGGCGGCAGGCAAACAGGGAGGCGCATGGTGGGGGATGGAAGAGAAAAGGAGGATGCTCCCCCACTCAGCTTCCTTCCTCACCACGAGCATCCCTGCCCAGCGCAATGCCAAGAGGCCCAGAAATACCAGATTCCTTTTCCCTCGTAAGCATATTTTTGCAAAATAAGATAAATTCTGATTATTTTATGATGTAAATACCCATTTGTGCCACCCAGTGATGGTAAAGTTCTCACATATCGGATCAAAACAGATGATGAAACAGAAGGGGCATGGGAGAATAAAGATCTTTCTTCACAGGTTCTTTCACCACCTGTAACACGTAGCACGCCATTTTATACATAAGACTCAAGCATCCATGGATTTTCGTATCCACGGAGGTCCTGGGAACAGTCCCCCACCGATACCAAGGAAAGGCTGTACTTGCATCTTAAGGGGGCTGTGCTCCTCAGTATACAAGGGAGGCAGAGAGAAACTCTGGAGAGAGAGGGCAACAGAAAATGCTGGTTGGACTCAGCAGTGATGGCAGTGATGAGGTGATGAAAGAAAGAGAAGAGGAAGTGACCCTAGGAAGGAAGACCCATCCCTGAGGGTCTCTGCCAGCAGGAAGCTCTGGCCCAACTGCAGTCCCTTTTATGATTTCCTAAGGCCACTTCTCAAGGCCTCTGCCTGGCAACAGCGCAAGCCTGACCCCATGATCCTCCAAGGGAAATGCCGAATCCGAGGGCTCTGGGCAATACAACACAATGGGAAAGACTAGAGATCTCTTCAAGAAAATTGGAGATATCAAGGGAACATTACATGCAAGGATGGGCATGATAAACGACAGATATGGTAAGGACCTAACAGAAGCTGAAGAGATTAACAAGAGGTAGCAAGAGGACATGGAAGCAACCTAGATGGCCAGTGACAGATGGACAGATTAAGTAGTTGCAGTACATATATACAATGGAAATCAACCCTGAATATTCATTGAAGGACTGATGCTAAAGCTGAAGCTCCAATACTTTGGCCACCTGATGTGAAAAGCTGACTCATTGAAAAAGACACTGCTGCTGCGAAAGATTGAAGGCAAAAGACGAAGGGAGCAGCAGAGGATGAGGCGGTTAGATGGCAACACTGACTCAATGGACATGAGTTTGAGCAAACTTCAGGAGATAGTGAAAAACAGGGAAGCCTGGTATGCTGCAGTCCATGGCATTGCAAAGACTCGAACATGACTTGGTGACTGCACAACGACAGGGCCCTGGGCAGATGTCTCTGTGAGTTCGAGAGGTCTGCAGTATCTCAGGGTGCTGCTCTAAGGACAAGGGAATGGCAAAAGCCAGTGCGCCTCTACCCTTGTCCCTCTGGCCATCAAACAGGACACGTTTTCATCCCACTCAGTCTGCACTGAAACAAAACACACCCCTGCCTCTCTACAGGCTTCTCCACCTTAATTACCGGCAACCCCACCCTTCTAGTTAGAAGTCACCTTTGACCCCCCTCCTTAAGGTCTCTTCACTGTATCCATCCCCAGATCCTATCTTCGAGGCATCTCTCGCTTTGGAGCACTTCTCACCATCTCTGCTCCAACCACTGCTGCCCCAGCCACAAGATCGCTTACCTACAGCCAGAGTGGTCTTGTTAACATGTAAGTTAGATCACGTTCCTCCTCTGCTCAAAACCCTCAAATGACTCCCCATCATCCTTGGAATAAAGCCAAAGTCTCTAGAGTGCTGCCATCTCTTGCTCTCTTTTCTCCATTTCAGTCTCTCTGGTCCTGCCTTCAATGCTCTTGTCCTGGGCCTTGCCCTGACTGTCCCCAAGCCTAGAACACTTCGCCTAACACTGCACATTGCCTCTTCCCCCACATCAACTTCTTGGAGAGGCCTTTCCTGACCCATCACTCTATCGCTCATTTCCTACTTTATCTGTGCAAAGTTTTCCACTGTTAACTGACATCAATCTGTTTACTTATGAAACTGTCCTTCCCTCCTAGACATGGGAATAGAGATTTCTGCCTATTTTGTCCCTGGTTACAACAGACTTCCAAAGAATATCAAGGGGAGATACGAAAGCCTTCCTAAGTGGACAATGCAAAGAAATAGAGGAAAACAACAGAATGGGAAAGACTAGAGATCTCTTCAAGAAAATTAGAGATACCAAGGGAACATTTCATGCAAAGATGGGCACAATAAAGGACAGAACCCTTCAGGTTTCTGTTAGGTAATGGACCTAACAGAGGAAGAAGACATTAAGAAGAGGTGGCAAGAATACACAGAAGAACTATACAAAAAAGATCTTAATGACCCAGATAACCATGATGATGTGATCACTCACCTAGAGCCAGACATTTTGGAGTGCTAAGTCAAGTGGGCCTTAGGAAGCATCACTACAAACAAAGCTAGTGGAGGTGATGGAATTCCAGCTAGCTATTTCAAATCCTAAAAGATGATGCTGTGAAAGTGCTGTACTCAATATGCCAGAAAATATGGAAAACTCAGCAGAGGCCACAGGACTGGAAAGGGTCAGTTTTCATTCCAATCCCAAAGAAATGCAATGCCAAAGAATGTTCAAACTACCACATTATTGTGTTCATTTCACATGCTAGCAAGGTAATGCTCAAAATCTTTCAAGCTAGGCTTCAACAGTATGGGAACCAAGAACTTCCAGATGTTCAAGCTGGATTTAGAAAAGGCAGAGGAACCACAGATCAAATGGCCAACATCTGTTGGATCATAGAAAAAGCAAGAGAATTCCAGAAAAACATCTATTCTGTTTCATTGACTACACTAAAGCCTTTGACTATGTGGATCACAACAAAGAGTGGAAAATTCTGAAAGAGGTGGGAATACCAGACCACCTTATCTGCCTCCTGAGAAACCTGTATGCAGGTCAAGAAGCAACAATTAGAAACGAACATGCAACAAAAGACTGGTTCCAAATTGGGAAAGGAGTATGTCAAGGCTGTGTATTGTTTCCCTGCTTATTTAACTGACACGCAGAGTACATCACGTGAAATGCTGAGCTAGATGAAGCACAAGCTGGAATCAAGATTGCTGGGAGAAATATCAATAACCTCAGATATGCAGATGACACATCCTTATGGCTGAAAGCAAAGATGAACTAAAGAGCCTCTTGATAAAAGTGAAAGAGGTGAGTGAAAAAGCTGGCTTAAAACTCAACATTCAAAAAATGAAGATCATGGCTTCTGGTCCCATCACTTCATGGCAAATAGATAGGGAAACAGATAATCTAGACTGGGACTTAATGAAGGTGGGGAACACATCTGTCTCCAAATCAGAATTCTGTCAGGAAGAGGGTGTTCCTGGGGAATTGGGGCAGGCCTGTCCCTACCTCCCACCCCATCCAGGCTGCCGCTGCCCTGCCCTGTTTGAAAGGAACTGAGAAAAAGCCAGTTTTTAGCATGAATCTCAGACAACCCCAGTGAGAGGCTGGTGAAATTCTAGGGCATGGAACAAACCAGAACCAAGACAAACTATACAGGGATCTTTCAAACATGATCCCACAACAAACAGAAGATGCACAGCACCCACATATATGGGGGGCGCGGAGAAAACTACAAACTATTTACTGGGCTTAGAAAAACCCATCTTTGAAATACTCTGCCAACACAAGCAAAAGTCACTTAGCCTGATCTGGGATTCAGAGGGGTCTTGGGAGAGGTGCTATCCGAGGTGAGGTCTGATGGAAAAGGAGCGGCCCTGGAACTTGGCAGGATGACCAGCACACGGAGGCGGGAAACGGCGAGAGGCCAAGCCAAGGCCAGGCCAGCCAGAGCACGGCGGCTGCTGCTGATGAGCGCGGGGGTTGTGCTGAGGCGTTAGGCTGTACACAAGCAAAGAGGACGGCAGCAAAGGTAAGGAGAACACCAACGGAGGGCGCGGAGCGGGGGAAGCAGAAACCAAGGCCCGCAGCCCAGGCAGCAGAGGGAGTCTGGAGCAGGAAGAAACGACAGGTCAGGTGACAACGCCAGAACCCACCTGCTCCTGGACAAGCCAGAGTCCATTCCATCCTTGTTGAATGTCAGGCGAGGAAAAGCATTAGGGACCTTTTTTTTTCCCCCCAGAAATGTTTCCTGGGCCAGATTTAAAGTTTCTTTCCTAAGAAACCATTGCCACCAAGTCCTCAACACCACAACAGAATGTTCTTCAAGGGGCACAGAGTCAATCTCTACCACATCCAACACCTACAGACCCCAAGAGGGTATCTGACACTCAAGTACTATCCCACCTAGATCTTCCCATAACACCTACAATCAGATAGGTCTATTCTGCTTAACAAAGCAAATTCCTATGACAAAAAGGTGGGAGGTATATGAGAACTGGATTTTATTTTTTTGAGATCAGTGAAATCATGAATAAAAATACCTGTTCAAACTTCTCAAGAGAAGGTGACTTTTCATAGTATCAGGCTACAAGTTACATTTATAGAGGAAACTTACCAAACAGGAGAAAGTTGTCGATGTGACAGGTTTCATTTAAGGGTCCAGGGTATATAGTTACACATTCATCTAAAACTGAATAAAATATTACTGATATCTCTTTTTCACATTTCACATTGAAGATTTGAAAACGAATGTTTACTATTTAATTAAACAGCTACATTTCAAATGCTTGCCATTTCAAGCAAGACTAAAAGTTTAAGTTTTGTTAAAATTCCTGTACTATTCCTAAACTGATGTACTCAAATAGAGATAAATAGTCTGTTTACACACCTGGAGTAAGACTTGTAAACAATGGAAATTTTGGAGGACTTAGTATTTCCTTAGGAGAGGCAGTGATGAGTAATAACAAAGACTGAGACCAGCTGATTTCATAGCATTTTTTATATAAACAATTTTGTGATAAACGGAAATTTTTCTTCACCTATGACCCTAATACAAAACTTATGTCAAGTTTCATCAGGAAAAATTTTTTGAGAGATACTCAAAAAAGGTTTGTTTAGTCATTCAGTATTTTGTCCTCTCCAAAGATCATAAAATGAGAATCTAATCAGGAAAAGTCAAGAATACAAAGTGAAGTTTTGGGATGCAGGAATGGCAGACTTGAAGTTGATCTTTCCAGTTAGAAGGTGTTAATTTAGCACCA